CAGGAAAATGTTCTGTTTGTACACAGTGGCGGCTTGGAAAAGTCTGGAAATCACAAAGGAAGGTGTGTAAATGGAGAAGCAAGTGTGAATAAAAGTGTGCAACTAGGATCTTCCCTATGAGAAAGGTTTAATGGGAGCGAATGATGGCTTCTTGACTTAAAACATGAACCTAAGATAAAGCACCCTTTTTCCAGTAGGAAAATGACAACTGCTAAATTTTAATAAGGGGGAAAAAGAATGCTAGTGGGTGTCTTGAATCTGCTTTAGCACACTTAGGCTTCTTGGCAAGAAGTTCAGGTTAATGCTGTCGTTTCTTCTAATAGCAATAGCAATTTAAAGCCTTTCTTTCATTACTGGCACAAAGTTCTGCAGGACGATGTGGTTAATTGTATTGTGAGCTGATCAAGGCTTAAATCTAACCTTTCTTGCAAAGCTTAATGTTAACTCTTATCAGTTTCATGATTCTTTTCATAGTGCATCTGCACAAGTATTTGTCTTGGCACAAATAGGTAAAATAGCTGGGGAAAAGCTATTCTGTAATGCAGTTTGTAAATGAAGGTTATAAAAGAAAGAATAGCTCTTTCAGACTGTTTACCTTCCAGCTAGCCAAGCTGGGCATAAAGACAACATATACAGGACATAATACACTTTTTTATTTGTGTAAGCTGTGTGATAAGTACTTTTACCTGCTGCCTGAGTATGTTGTAAAGTACTGGGTGTAGCTTTTTACTTGTCTGTTAAATGAATTGCACCAGCTTGGAAAATTAGCATGTCATTTGGCCATGCATGCTCAGTGATATCCACTGTTGTGCTGCACCTGCCTTCAGGGAAAGTACCCCAAATGGTTGTGTTTCCTGCTGTAGAAGCAGGAAGGTTGTCCCAAGTTCTTAACTAAGTGGGTAGAACAATGTCCCTGGTTGGCTGACTGTACTTATCAACAATGAGATCTTGTGCAAGCATATTATGACTTTCATTCAAGGAAATAGTGACCAACTATTTCATTTAACATAGATCTCTTGAGAGCCTTAAGAATCTTGAGGGCTTTTCTGTATGTTCTGGCTAAGCCAGTACTTTTTGGTATTCATGTAGAAGTTAGTATTGTTTTCTGACATAACAGTGTGTGAGGTGCAAGACTTCAAGGTGTGGTATTAGGAAAGAAACGTGAGCATCTCCAGAAAACTATTTGTGGGAGGAAGAAGCTTTACTATTAATACTTTCTGTGCATCTGGGTTTTCATTGTTTTTAATTTTCATGAAGCTGACTTGTGTTGAAAGACTTAAAATGGGGCTGACATCCTTGGATGGAAAGCCACTAGCTGAAAGACTTGAGGGCTTGAGTCTGAAATGTGACTTAATTAGTACTTTGTATTCTGAGAAAAGGTCAAATGCTTCTCACTACTTCCTCTCTAGTCATATTTGGAGGCTATTTGTTAGAGAGATGGAAGTCTAGCATGGCCTATTCAAACAATGAAGGTCCCATCTGCACAGTGGTGGTTAAATTAGTACTTGAATAATAAACGCCGGCTTTTCTGTGGTTTGGGAAGAATGCTGATAAATTGGAGGAACTCAAAAATACTTGGAAACAGAAGAAAATGCCTTGAAATAAAAAAACTAACGTTACGAATATCAAGAAGTCATTCTGAGAATGAGCAGGATAGCGCAGGCTGTGAAGCTCTTTATGTAGTACATTGGAGTGTATGTAAAAGAACAGCCAGATTTATTTTTTACAGCTGCGTTTTCACTAGCAAAGAGCACTTTTTAAATTGGTGATGTAAATTATAATTGTCAGTCTCACTTGTGTGCCTCTTCCATTTACTGGGTTCAAGACTAGGTGTTTTCAACATGAGTATTTTGACTCAAGAACATCTGCTAAGACTCAGTAAACCAATTGAAATTTGCAGTGCTGTCTTAAATGCCATACCATGCAATTCCTTTCCTTTTGAGGATAGTTTTTCCAGATGCATAGGAGAGGTTCAGTTCCACTTTCTTGCATGAAGCTAACAATTAAAACCTTAGAAACTTGTTTCATAGGTTTTGTGTCTCTATCTAAAAATGTTCTTTTTCCCAGAAAGCTTCTCAAGAGGCATCAGATCTTCGGGGGGGGGGGGTTTAACATGAAAAGCAGTAGTGGGAAGATGAATATACGTGACCTCTTGGGTTTCCTCTTAAGGCAGATGACATTGTTGAATAATGTGGTATTATTCTGAGGAAGATTTCTTTCACACAGAGGGTAGCAGACTTCCCTGTCAAGGTTCTTTTAGCAATTGCAACTTCTCAAGCATAATCATAAAGCAGCTCTTCATTCAGGAAGCTTCAGGTAGATCATAGCACAAAGGGAATGAATGGAGGAGGGTAGAGCATGGCCAACCCAGGAGAGCTGATAAAGTGGTTCAGTGCCCCGTTTCAGTAATATCTAGTGGGACTTCTGCTATGTGCTGTATAGATAAAAACGATCCTCCCTCCTATAAGCAATTTACAGCCTGATAGTCTACTCAAATTTGTACTTCCAGACATCATTAAAATACACTAGCAGATAGTGTTTCCAGGTATATTTAGTGTCAGTTATATAACTTGGCTTTCTAGATCATAAATGAGTTTCTTGTTTCCTTCATCGCCCTGAAGTGCCTTGAGCACGTAAGCGCAGCTTAATGCCCCTTTCCTGCATATGATGTCACATGTGACATTTAATGAGGGTTTTTGGTCTGAATCTCCAGAGAATTAGCACCTTTTGTAACTTAATAAGGTTCTGTATAAATGATCACTGAAGAGAACAAGTTGTAGTTGTAATACGTCTGCTTTATCATAGACCTGTGTTCTGACTTCGCTAGGAGCTGACCAGAAATAGCTCAGAGGATGGGGTTGTTGTCTGGGTTTGAGAACATTGTGGTTCTCTGTGGTACAGATAGTCTGTGTATGTGATCCTACTTTTTCCATGCCCTCTTGAAAAATTCTATTAGGGCTTTGCAGCTGTTGGACAATATTTTAGCCTCTGTTTGATGGGCAAGGCTTTTTAAGGTGGTTAAAGTGCAGGTAATCAAATAACTTGGGCATTCATGAAGAGAACCTTGTTAAAGATGGACTTGGCTAAAAACTACTTGTGAAAACTAAATATTGATCTAATTGCCATGTGGGATTGTCCTTGAGGTTCTGTTCCTTCTAAGCATTGAAGACCTTAGCCTGGGTCTTTTAGACATCCTTTGTTATTGTGGTTAAGTCATTCTTATTGCCATTTTCCATGTAGGTCGAAATACATTAGCTAATACATTTTGACACAATGCTGTTACAAAAATGTGTTTTCCTTAGCTACTATCTGATAGTTGGAATAGGTTGGTATTGCCTTTCATTTGGGAAAAACTGGAGAGGGAGGAATTTGCTGAAAAACCTTATCTTTAAGTCTCCAATTTGTTTGTTTCCCCTTCGGGGACAGCTGAAATGTAAATATCACTGTTATCTTGATGTGCTCTTGTGTTCTATATGGTGCCTTATTAGCTGTTTAGAGTAAACAATTGATATTGGCTTCTTAAATGTGTATATACATATAAGTGGCAACTGCAGTTATGAAAAGCAAGCTAGTAAAAATGACTATGGCTCCTGCTGTCAAGTTGCAGACTTCATATGGTTCGACTGGGGCTAATTGGTTCTCCATCAAATTTGCAGTTAAACTTGAGGCTCTGCTCTTTAAAGTAGGCTTCTTTAAATGTAAGTTAAGAATGCATCTATAAATGCAAACATAGAGTAAAAATTAAATGGCTTGTCTCATGCAGACATCACCAAAGATTAAATATCTGATTGTCTTATGCTTTCATCTGTTCCATTATTTCCTACCTCTAAAACAATAATGCCAAGAGAATATCACCATAGCTTAGTGTTTGTCTTGTGTGTGGGGCTCAAGGATATAAAGTTGTCACTAGCACTCCATGTGCTGCTGTACAGCAAGAAAGAAAAGCTTTTGTAGCCCAAGGATGTTTGTTTTAAAATTGACTTTGTATCTGGAAAGGAAGTGTATGTATGATGCTATCTTCTTTGGCTATACACAAAAGGCAATGCTCACATGAAATGTGGTGTTCTCTTAAAGCAGTCTTCATACTGAGGTGGTGATGGAGGAATAAATAATGATCCTTGGACTCTGATGGAGCCTTGAACTTATTTATAACTCCTTTATAAGAGGCTGGATAGCAAGATCTATTCTCTTGAGACCTAGACCCTTAAAGAATACCTTTGTAGTGATATTTTCTAGGTAAAATTAGTTAAGAAAATGGAAAACCTTCATACAAATTGTCCTACTGTGCAGATACTCCTGATGAGGCTTCATTATAAATTCTGAAGCCTTTTACACACAAACCTGGTTTTAAGCATGGCTTTATATTGTTTCTGAGTAGTGATCTATTGCCAGTAAGCCATGATTTCAAAGACTGTGAGTCTGCAAAAGACAGTTTTTAGCTAGTAAATATTTTTGATTATTTTACCCTTAAGAAATAAGCGGACATTTTGCTACATAGGTTTTAAGGAAACATAAAATGCTAGTAAAGCCTGATTGAGATAATGTTCATGGTGGTGGCCTTAAAGAGCTTGTATATTGAATTTAGGGAAAGCTATTCCTGTCTTGTAGTTGAAGATTAAGTGTTTTGCTTTTTAGCCTTAAGATTGAAAATGGAAACCCAATTGTTAGACTGTAATTTCCTCTCCAATGAAATGAGAATTGGATCAAAGCTTTTTCATTAAGAATGAATTATTGCTCTTAATTCTGCAGTTTATTCACGTGGGCCAATGTTGCAACTCCTGAAGCAGTTCGATATTTCACAATAGATCAGAAAACATTACAAATATCTAGCTGCCAGGGGTTTTATTTATAAAGATCAGCTGTTGAGGAATTTCTTCAAGATACCCAGTCCTTTCTAAAGATGTTGTTAAATGCATGTATAGGGGAACTGAAAACTGCATGCAGTGTCCTATGCTGACTGCTTCCACAGTTAAAACTTTTTTTCTTCTGATTGATTTCAGTACTCATCTGAGAAGCTGAACAAAAGTGGCAGCTTGTTCCCTTTCGAAATCAATGGTAAGTTCTTCAGAAACCTTAGTTGTGTTTTACTGAGGTAATTGGTATAGCAAGCAGCCTTTCTTTTGTAAATAAGATGAGGGGGATGGAGCATGCTGTTGTAGAGCCTGCTGGTTTAAGCTGGTCTTGGAACAATACTGGGAATAGCTGGTTGTTAGTTTTGTACTTGTGATCTGCTTTGCATAGTAAAAGCCCTTGTAACAGGTTTTTTGGTTCAATATCTGCTATGCCAGAAGCACAGCAGTGCTGTTTTTCATGCTAAACATCCCTTCAGGTTCCTCAACTGGCAGAAATCTTTACACACCTTCTTGCCACGTAGAATATCCAGCATGATGTAAAACCTAAGTTGAAGTCCAGTGCCTTCGTAGAAGTGTTACCTGCATTTCCCACTTTGGTCGTATTAGAGTAAGAGGAAGTCGTATCTAGAAAAAAATAAAAATGTCACTTATTGAAATGTAGACTTTGTGCTGCTTTTTTAAGGGATGGACTTGGAATTTTGCATCTTCTGTTGTGTTTGAGGATGGAGGGATTTTATTTGCTCGGTGGAATTCCCTGTAAAATGCACATCTTAGCTTGTGTAAATTTTCAAAGGGAAATGGTCTTTTTATCTTAAATACCATTATCAGCAAGGCAGATAATCATGATGGGAGTCTATAATAGACCACCAAGACAGGATAGAGGGGTAGACCATAGTCTATAGTCTGTAAGCATCTGAGAGAAGTCTCACAATCGCTAGTCCATGTTCTTGTGGAAGACTTCAAATCACCAGATGTCTGTTGGAAATATACTATAACAGAGAGGAAGCAGTCTGTGAGGTTCCTGTAGTGTGTGGCAGAGGACTTCCTGACATAGCTGATGAGTGAGCTAAATAGGGAAGGTGGCTACTGGAGCTGTCATTTGTGAACAGAAGGACTTGTGGGTGGTGTTGATGGTTGGAGGCTGTCTTGGTCATAGCAATCTTGAAATGACAGCAAGGAGAGTGGGGTCAGCAAAACTGCTGCTTTGGACTTCCAGGGGGCACTTTGGCCTGTTTAGGAGCCTGGTTGACAAGATTCCCTTGAGAGGCAATCCTGAAGGGCAGAGGAGTCTAGGAAGGCTGGAGATATCCTTCAAGAAGGAAACCTTAAAGGTGGAGGATCAGGCCTTCCCCAGGCACTGAAGGATGAGCCAGTGGGAAAGATGACTGCCCTGGCTGAACAGAGAGATTTGCCTGGAATTTAGGTAAGAGAAGAGAGTTAATGACCCTTGGAAGAGGAGATGGGCAACTCAGGAGGGGACTGCAAGGATGTCATGACGTTATGCAGGGAGAAAATTAGAAGGGCTGAAGCACAGCTGTAACTTAATCTGGTGACTGCCATAAAAGACAATTAAAAATGATTCTATAAATACATTAGCAGCAGAAGGAAGGCTAAGGAGAATCTGTCCTTTATTGGACACAGGAGGAATCATAGTGACAAAGGCTGATGTACTTAATGCCACCTTTCCTCAGTCTTTAATAGTAAGACCAGTTATCCTCTGGGTACCCAGGCCCTGCACTGAAAGTTGAGGACAGGGAGCAGAATAAAGCCCCTATAATCCAAGGGGAAATGGTCAGTGACCTGCTATACCATGTAGACACATCCAAATCTATGGGTCTGGATGGGATCCACCCGAGGGTACTGAGGGAACTGGCTGAAGGACTCACCAGGCTGCTTTCAGTTATTTGTCAGCAAACCAGGATGGTCCCAGTTGATTGGAAGTTAGCAGATGTGGTGGAGGCATGTCGTGGTTTAAACCCAGTCAGGTAATTCGTTCGCTCACTCCCCTCCCTTTTCTTGCCCCCCCCCCCTGCTCTCGGAGGGACGGAGAGGAGAATCGAAAAGAATGCAACTCCCATGGGTTGAGATAAGAACAGTTTAGTAACTAAGGTATAACACAAATCACTACTGCTACCACCAATGATAATAATGATAAAGGAAATTAACAAGGGAAGAGAATACGATACCACCGGCCAAGAAAACGAGTTCCACCCGGAAGCCCCTGTCCTTCCGGGTGGCTCCCAGTCACCCCCCACCCCAGCCATGACGTGCTGTGGTATGGAATACCTCCCCGGCTAGCCCGGGTCAGGCGCCCCGTCTCTGCTTCCTCACAGCCTCCCCTCCTCCCTGGCAGAGCATGAGCCTCACAAAGTCCTTGGCCAAACCAAAATATCCTTGTTATCAGCTCTGTTCCCGAGCTGAAAGTCAAAACACTGCACTGCACCAGTTAACACAAAGGAAAAACATGACTGCTACTGCGGAACCCAGGACAAGGCACAATCCCTGGGGGTATTTGGAAGATATGTAGATGTGGCAGTTGAAGGATATGGTTTAGTGGTGGGCATGGCAGTGTTAGGTTGGAGCTTGTGTTCTTAGAATCGCTAAGGTTGGAAAAGACCTTTAGGATTCTACCATGTAAAGAATTAAAACACACATGCAACTTGTGACTTTATTTCACAGTATTCTTTAAACCCACTTCCCAATCTGGGAGAAAGCTTCCTAAGGCTTTTTAAAAATCAGGGCAGTCCAAGCTAGCGAATTGTCCTACAGTACATACAAGGAGTTTCAAGCATTATCTGGATCCTATTGTGTTGGCTATTTTACTTGCATTGAATTATGGATGGTTCCTGCCTTGAAGAGCTTACATGCTTAAGGCAAAGCACAGTATGTGGTTGTACCCATCTGAAAGAATGGAGGAGGAAGGACAGAGGAATTCTAATAAAACATGTTGTTTGAATAGGCCAGCTGTCTGCACAGTTAAATGATTTTGAGACAATAGGCTGTTCTTTAAATAAGATTGAAATAAACAGGATAATCCATGACATACTTTGGGCATGGAATATGTAGAGCTATTTGCGTTCACAGTTTTTGAAGCTACTCAGCAAATCTTTTATCTGATGATTACTCTAAAACTTAGACAACGGTAAGAATATACTGGTATTTAAAGTTATATCTAGGTTCTTAAAATAGCCATTGGGGAAAAAATCTGGTGTTTTAAGTACTCTTTCTTTAAAGCTGGGGTAAGTGAAACTTACTTGGCTAATTGGTTTAAATTAGCAAATTTTCTAACCAAGCATGAAGTGCTGTTAACTGGCCAACAGTTTTCAATTTGCAAATCCAAAGTCTGCTGTAGTTCTTCTTACACTTCATTGTATAATGTGGAGGAACAGCTGTAAAATGTGCAGAATGTTCTCAAAGAAACGCTTTACAAAAGAGTGAGAGGCTTCGCTGGCAGACCGCTTTTAACCCAGCATTGCCACTTCAGATGAGACGTTGTGCACTGTGGGTTATGCCAGTATTCACAGTGAAACTTGCAGGAGGTTCTTAAGGGATACTCACTTTATTTTATGCATTGAATTAGGATTTTTATCCCCTACACTTTGAGCAAGAAAAGGAAAGGATCTGCAGTTTGCTTTTAACTTTGTACTGTTTCTAATTTAAAGTAAAGCTTTTCACACCACAGAATGTGAACGCCCATCTCTTTCGAACTTTTTCTTTATTAAGGTATTCTTAATAGAAGAGCATAACAGCCAAATGAAGGACAGCAGTCTGAGAGATTATCCTGTTCTTATTAAAAGAATAGAAATTCCCTGGTGGGTTCTTGCATTACTTGTTAATCCATTTTGGTTGGACCATAGGTTGCTCACTGTTACAGGTTTTAATTGTGCTGTGTACAAGGAAGCAGGTAAGGAAGCTGTCCTTGTTCCTAACTAAAGAAACACAATGCTGTAATCTTTCAATATACAGGAAGAAGCATTAACAAGGTACATACGTACTGCAGTCCTGAATTGGCTTCTGAAATACCTTGGTCTTCATGTTTTTTGAATATTCTATGTTTTTTAAAATGAATATGTAACTGTAGTGTGATTAAGAGCTAGGTATCTATGGCTCATCCTTCTGAGCTTGAGTTTTATTCATGGTTTTGCATTAAGCTAGGTTGAAAACAAATTGGCTTTTTTCTTTTGTATCTTTCACTTGTATCTTTTTCTTTTCAGAAGAGAGTCCTTGGAAAGCTTTAAATGGCGGTTACCCAATCCAGACTGACACAACAAGGAATTCAGCTTACCCTTTCCCAGTGTGCCCATTCAGCACCAGCACTGCCAGTAATGGTAGTCTGCAGTGGCAGCAGGAATCTTCCAGTACATCTATGGTGTCCGGATGGATAAGTGAATTAAACCTTAACGAAAACTCGGGTCAACCCTTGGCACCACCAACAAAACGCCACTGCAGGTCCCTGTCTGAGCCAGATGAGCTGGCTCGCTGTCGGTCCCCTTGGAAGCCTGGCAATTCAAAAGTTTGGACTCCTGTGTCAAAGAGACGGTGTAATAGTGGCGGTAGCGCTACTTTGCAACGCTGCAACAGTCATGGAAGTGCAACCTTACAGAGAAGCACAAGTATCAGTCTGCCACAAAACATACTGTCACTCAATAACGTCTTCACTATCACCAGCTTCAACACATCACCAGTACCCAGACCTTCCTCTGCCAGCAGCGGGTTTGTGGACAGTAGCGAGGGCAGCACAAGCTCGAGTACCCGCTGGAATTCTGGAGGCCCTTGTGACTTTAACCCAAGGCGCCGCCTCTCCCTCTCCCAGGAGCACATCACCGAGACAGGAAATCTCTTGCCTTCAGCCAACAGCACTCCCACCTCCACACCAGAGCTCAGCCGGCGTCAGGGCTTGTTGAGATGCCGCTCTCAGCCTTGTGTTCTGAATGAGAAGAAGAGCCGGCTAAAGCGCAGACGGGAGGAGGATGTACGATGGAACAGGCCATCGTTAGACTTTTTTAAAATGACACGGGTGAGATTTTACTTTGCTCAGTGTGTGAGGGGAAACTCTTGCAGAAAGGCTGTTCCTAGATAAACTGAACTAGTCGGTATTACAGAGTTGCTTATGTTCTTATACTGACATAGTCACCTTCAGCAGGCTCCTTATACTTGCCAGTGCTATATACCCTATAGCTACTTGCTTTTTGTTTCCGAAGCCCAGACCCTAAAGTCCAAACTGCTTGCTACAGGGTACAAAGATCTATGAGAAAATGCTTGAAGCAGAGTCCAAAGAAAAATGGCTTGACTACTCCATGGTTTCGTTTCATTTTGAAGTGGGGGTTAGGCAGGCCAGCAAAAAAACTATACCACTCTGTTCCCAGAGAACAGTGTGCAATGATTTCTCAATCATCTTGGTGTAAATCTGTTTGGTTAATCCTCCCATTGCAGTTTGAGTAGTTCCGTAAAGTTAAATAAGAGCAAACAAGTCCCTGTATAAATGAATTAACTAAAGAAAATGCTAATAAGCAGTCAGAAATCAAAGTAGTACTGCAGTACAGCAGCTGCAGATGCTCTGGCTCAGTGGAGAGGTGTTCTAACTTGAACTATTCAGAATTCTTCTTTCCTCATGTAAAAGTGCTGATATAAAAAAAAAGTAAACTTCAGTTCAGGCCTGTGCTTTGCATGTAATGCAAATACATGTGCACAGCTCACTTTTCAAAGTTTGTGTCCACAGAGGCAACTGCTACAATTTAAAATGGAAGATGCTAATTTAGTTTCTGTAGTTGTGAAATTGAGTCTTACTTTATGGCCAGAGAATACATTATGCTTGTGAGAATATAACCCTCCTGCCTTCAGTAGGTAGGAGACTCAGGAGGTCTGTGTGAGTGGATTGGTTAAGAATAGTGAGGAAGAGGCAGTTTGTGGAAATAGCGATGAAAGCGTGAAGAAAGGAAAAATTTTTGTACCAATGTTCCTCCTTTAATGCACTGTGCAAAAGAAAAGCTGAGTAGAATGAGATGCTGGCAAAAAATGTCCAGTCTGTGGTACCTTGGTAGTAGTAGGCTTTACATAGAATTGGGGGGGAGGGGTGGGGGAATACTAGTAAGCTACTGGAACTGAACTGTCCACTGTGGAATATTCAGAGTTAACTAATTTATGTCCACTTTGCCAAGGTAAAAGTCTGTATGACTTTTTTAACACCTTTATGAGTCAACTTACTGCTTAAAGGACATTCTTCATTAAAAATAGGGCTTTTTTGATGAAGCTGTGGGGTAGGTCACTAGTTGGTAAGCCATACAGAATGATCTGTTTGCTTATTGACAAGCTTGGTAACCCAAGCTTGCTACTCTAGACAGGACCTAGACAGTGTTCTGAGTTCTGGTTAAGATGCAAGTTTACTGATTAGCTAATCAGATTTTACCTGTTACTGTGTTAATCACTGCCGAGATTAGTTTGCTAATCTACTCCAGAAATAGTAGCGGATTTGCCTTCAGCTGCTCGTGTGGTAATTCAGGTTTCTTTATTTAAAACCTGCTCCTTTTTTTGGCTATACTTGCTGCTTACACTCTTCAAGCTCTAGAAGTGAGATACAGTATTTAACTGGCAGAGTAGTTTCAGTTGCTCAGATATATGGATTACTTAGATGACATAACAGTGTATATGGAGAAAACCTGATATAGCCTAAAGTTTTTTGGCTACTTAGATTTGCTGCTACACAGACTAATATTCAGCCTGTCTCAATCACTTTTTTCCTTTAAGATCTATTTTGAAATCATATTTTTACTATAAGCTGAGTAGTTTATGCAACAAAGTTCACTCTGCAGTGTCATGGTGTGATGGTTTTTTCCTAGCTGTTTCAGGAGAATCTTCTTTCAGAGATACTACTGAGTATTTAATTGACAGCAAAAAGTATAATTTGGAAATAGATGAGTTTCCAAACATGCTAAACTTTAGTGAAAACATCTGTTTGAAACTTAGACCAGTGCTGAAAACATTTGAAGTAAAAACTGAATGAAGTTTTCAAGAACTATTGGGGTTTCTGTAGAATGACAGCTTGCTTACCCTTTTGATTGTTAAAACTCTTCTATTTCTTCATAGCCTACCTTTTCCCCATGTCCCAAATCCTGGCAGATGTATATGCTTTGAAACTTACATGGTGGTCTTAAACATTTCTCTCTAAATTTAAACAAAATTACTGCTGTATGAAATACTGTAAGTTAATACTATGGAAGACTTGTTTTGAAACGTTATACATGCATGTGTCCTATATCTGCATATAGCTCGGTGAAGATCAGGGCTATGCTAAGGGGAAGTTCAGTAAGACCTCTTTTTATGTATCTTGATGGCCCCTTATTGCTTCCAAAAATACTTTTTCTGTGACTTCAGATTCACTTCTTAGTCAGTTTATGAAAGACCTGTGTTGAAAACAAATGCTTCTGAGGATTTTTTGTGGTTGTTCTGAGCTTTACTCCAAATATTTTGATATCCTCCAATCTTCCTGAAGAGCTAAACTTACCAAATAGTTACTCAAAACCAGGTCAGTAATTAGATGCTTGTGGAGAACTTAAGTCATAGTTGACCCATGTTAGGTTAGACCTGAAGTTGGTGAGAAGGGAGAGTTCTTACTTCTATGGCATATGGGAGCTATGACTATGTGAAGAGGGGAGTTTTGGATCTGCAGCCATTTCTGCCAACACTCCAGAGTCCTGAAAGGTTGGCATTGAAACACCTGCAAGAGTTGCTCAGGGTTTCTCAGCTAGGAATTCTCTCCTATGACTGTTGATTAGAAGTTCCCATTGTCATTGCTTTTTACTCTTTAAGTTCATAGGTGAGTAAATTCAGGTTACTAATCTATCCTTAATTTCTCTTCTTGTTCGTGGCTTGCTCCTTCTGCTGTTGCCTCATTAATATTCTAATTTGTGCCTTTACTTAAGAGAAGGAAAGAAATTGGGCAGCTCTTAACACCATGAACTGTTTCTTTCTATATATTTTGATTTTATGTTCTTTCGCCACAGACCTTCATGCTTCACTTCACTGTACTCCCCCTCTGTTTTAGATTTTATGTGCTCTTGGAAAAGAATATGCCATAGTTTCAATTCTCATGGAAAATACTACATTAATATTCAGTAAAATGAGTAATTCACATACGTAGAAATAGATGGAAATGATCAGGCAGATTGCTGTACACCACTTTAGCTCTTGCATAGTGCTAAATTCTGGAAGGATCTTTTTCTGGACTTGAAGCTGAAAATACAAGCTGTGAAACTTCAGACCTTCTAGAACATGAAGACAGCTGTAAAAACAAGTGGAAAAGACTGTAGGAAAAGATAACAAAAAAATGATAGCTGTTTTTAGCCCCAAAGGACTCAAAATTACTTTCTCTGTTCAGTTATATGTGCAAGAATAGCTGTAGGAGTTTCAGAACGCAGTATTTATGCCTACTTAGTATTTGTTCTCAATAGCCCAAGTAAGAAGGTGACTCCAGTGAGGAGTGTTGGTGTTCCTTCACTGTAGCATCTGATCACCCCCGCATTTCAAGATGACTGTGCATGGCCAAGAGCCTCTTTGGACTTGTGCACTTTGCAGGTAATAGAATCATAGAATAGCATCATAGGGTTGGAAAGGACCTTAAGATCATCAAGTTCCAACCCCCCTGCACTTAAACTCTTGACAACTACTGATAGATCTCTTTTCTGGGTTTTTTTAAACCCTTTCTCTTGGACATTCACAGTAGTCCACAAGAGTTTAATTTTTGTAAACTGTTCACTGTCATATTCAAACATTCATTCTCTGAGTAATTAACTTTTCTTTCTTGGAGCTTAAGGTCTTGAATCAGCAAAACACTTAACATTGATCATTCAAGTAAATTGAGCTTAAATTATCTCTGATTTGTTGATTTTATGTTTTGGGTCACAGTGATGTGCTGGCTTTGTGGATCTGTGGTAAGGGGGGCTTCTCACAGAAGATAGCAACTGATTTGTAAAGACTTGCCAGCTCTGGCCAAACCAGCAAGACTAGTGTCACTGAAGTATGAGGATGAGCAGAGGCACAAGCTGATAGTGATTTCCACAGCAGTTTAAAAATGTGTGCAAAGTATGGATGAATGGTGGAGGTGGATATATTTCCCTGAAGGGTGTGATGAGGAGGCAGTGTTTTATGAAGGGCAGAACACATCAGAGTGCTGTTGACAGAACTTGGATCAGATGATTGCTACCGTTCCTGCAGAGACTTTGTTAGTAACTCCTGGTCTATCTTGTGGAATCTTTGCCTCTGCTTACTTCAGTTTTACTTTTGTAGGCTAGTTGGAAGAAGCCAAGGTGAATATATACAAGGGTGAGATGTGGTACTGATTTATTTAAGTATCTAAATAATAAACCAGTGTAACAACTTGTGGTTGCTGTCTGAACTATTAGGCCTACCTTTTGTTTTATTGGTCTTTGAGGTCACTTAAATGGTCAGTATGCAGCCAGGTAGATGTGTTAGCCGTACTGTGGCCTCACTAAGCTTAAGCAAAATAAGCTCTAAAGCATTCTCCTTGATCCTTTGAATTCTTGTATAGAAAATTCCAGGGATGCCTGTTAAGCATAGTTAAAGATGCATTCACTTGATTATGCTACAGTGATGTTCCCAAGCTGTTCAAGCAGTGTCACTGCTCTAAGTAAAAATCAAGTATAGGCATAGAAAAGATGCTATCATACATGAGTAGTGTAGTGAAGCTGCTCACTTGGTGTTAGGCTTTCTCCCAGGCTGCTGCTTTAGCATGTATAAGAAGTGATATTGAGAGTCATTCAGAATGCTAGCAGAGTAACCTGGGAGTCAATCCTGAATGGGCTGAAGTAGGTTAAGTACTTGCTCATGAAGTTAATTTAGATTGTGTTCTCTAAATAGTAAGCATGTTGTTTTAAATAGTTTTGAGATGCTTATGTGAAGCTTGTCTCCTACAGCCCCCTGGCAAAATGGGATCAAACAGGTTATTTGGGGTAGATGTGTTTTCTGCTTGTGGATACACTGAAGTCAGCAAAGGCTGTCCTCTACCTGGGGAAGATACTTAATACAATTGTAAGTATTAAACATGAGGGTTCTTGCAAGAGTGTAAGAAGATGTACTACAGCATCTCTGGGTCAGAATATAGGTCTGATTTTTTTTTTTTTTTTTCTTCTACCTGTGGATGACACTTTGCAGTTCAGTGATGCATTCATGTGTGGTGCTGCTTCTCAGATAAAATAGGTGATAGA